AACATCAAATCACCCATTAGAAGGAGTTGAAGGTTACATGGATATTACTTCACCTAATACTGAAATGTGGCCTCGCCTGGGATTTAAGAGTGTATGACAGCACTGTGGATTGATGCAGGGCAGGAAGGGAAGATCTTTACCCAGCTGAAACCAAAAAGAGACTTTGGTAGGCTGAATGCAATAACCTGATATAGAAAGTAGCACTTCCTTAAGAAGCAAGCCGTGGGGGTCTTATTAGCCACAAGGTTTTGTTTTATGTTTTATTCAAGATGATATAGTCACTCTGTGGTCTAAAAAAAGTCAATTAGCTGCACATTTACTACACACAAGGTATTAGAAACTTTGTTTAGTTTATTGAAATTTATTATTTCTACTGCATGAGCAACTGAAGACTCCAGGTGAGGTTTGAAACCCTAATGATAAGTTGCATCCTTATAAACATCCCTGCCTTCTACATAAAACAATATGTGGGCTCAATTCCAAAAGGCTGACAGTCTCTCATGGGTGGATCTAGTATGCTAAAGGCCTAGGGCTGTATTATTCAATTTAAGATTGAAGCAAAAACAAATATAAGTTAATTGGAATGAGTTAAAAATAGTCTTCAGGGTTGTGAAGTAGGAACTTCATTGCCAGGACCAGCTAACAGGCAGCAAAATTGCAGAACAAAGATAGCTTGATTGGTAGAACATCAAGGCCAGAAAAAAGAGAAGGTCACTAAGACCTGTGGAATGAAGATCTTATAAAGGATCAGGTAGATTACAATGAGCCACAAAGTCAATTGACTGTACCAGGACCCATTTGTCTACATCGTGTAGTGTCGACTACTCTTCTAACCACTGAACCATCCTTCCCCTCTACTGGACAGCTGTAGACTCTAGGCTGAATACCTGTGCCACTTGTTGACTGCCTCATGCTGGAGGTGGGAGCGTTCACCACCTCTGAAAATCAAGCCTGAAGTTGAGAAATTGGTCCCCTAAATTAAGCAGCTAAGTTGGAGACCTGGACTCCCTCAATGTCTGCATGTTGTTTATCTAGCTCTATGTAAAGCAGATGTTTGTATTTATGAGTGCATGCAGAAGCTGGTAAACAGATGAATAAAGATTATTATAATTGTGCAGCTTTTCAGCCTTTGCTTTCTTTAGAAAGGCTTGGGTTTCCTGTTAGAGCCAGCTGGGAAGTGGAATCAGTGACAGAAACAGCAAGATACAGAGGCCTTTATCACTTGAGGAAAGTGAAAATCAAAATGCTATAGAATTATTATCTCCTGGATTTGTATGTTCTGCTGGTATCCCTCTGAAAACAAAATACCATTTTCTTCTGTGATGGATTTGCATCCTGAAGGATCTCTTTTATTCCCTGAAACACAGCAATGAATTGTTTTCCTTTTTCTACTTCAGTATATATCAGTATGGCTGCAAGCAGGAGTGACAGGAGTCAAATTCCTCTGAGCTATTATGCAAAATTTGAGCCCTGAAGTTCATCAAGCTATGGCAGGGAAAGGATAATGCTGAAGCCATGGGAGATAAGGAAGATTAATGGGTACCAATTCTACCTAATCTTGGTACATAGTCCAGCTTCTCTCCACATGTTACTCCCTAGGTATGCCTGTCATGCAGGAGGAAAGGAAAATACTGCTTTTCCCTTGGGGTTCTCAGGATGAAAATAGATATACATTAAACTTATTCTCAGGGCAGGATGTACTGAGTTGTAGCATGGTCTTCTATGAACTCTGCCTCATTGTACAGTTTTCAGTGTTATGATTTTAACAACATCAATTTGATGATGGTTACTTTACTTCACACACTCAAGCTGCAGAGATTTCAGAGCTGACAATAGGGATTGTATTCAAGAACATCTGCTTTATAAACATAGGCCTTTCTTCTTTGAGTTAAAGAAGAATACATGTGAGTTCTCAGGAGAATGCTTGTTACCTAGAATAGTATGAAGTTTTAAAAGCAGTAGGGCAAACAGGCTCTGTAGGTCAGCTCCTGAAGGGTGATCCAGTCTCTTTCTCATACACCCACATTCTTGAGAAGGCCTGACAGGTCTTGATTAGTTCTGGGAATGGAAAGTAGTGCATACATACAGAACCCATTACCTTGCACTCCTTAATTATAGTAGCATGGAAAGGACAGGGACATCAGAACAGGCAATTATAGACCCCAGAATGATTTTAAAGATTCTTCCTCTTGGGAATGACCAATGAGTAGAAAAACGTATGAATTCCATTCAACCAGATGTGTGAATGGAGTACCGATATCATGTGATGAATAGGATAACATCAATTGCACTTGATTTCTATTTGAAGTAGAAGAATTTGCATAAAATTATTGCCCCATCCTGGATTTATGTATCAGTTTTCATTTGCCTCATTTAATGTTCATTAAAAAGGTGCTTAAAATCACTTTTTAATAAAGCTATAAAATTACTACAGTGGGCACATTATGCATACAACCATACAGTTATGTGGAACTATGCTTGATGGTCTGCTGTTATCAGAAGGCCCAGTTTTCAGTGATCATTTCATGGATATGGTTTAAGTTATATCAAAAGTATTTTAATTAAGGAACTATAAAGTGACCCTTGTTATACAAATATTTAATTTGTATTGATATGTCAGTAACCTTTGAACCATTGTTTTAGCACTTGGAAAAGGCTCTTTAAAATTCATAAAACTATTTTAATATGACATAATCACAACAGTATTATGACATGAGATTTTTTTCATTCATTCATTTTTCTTCTGGGAGACTCATAGAGGTGGGGCTTTGTGAAAACTTGTTCATACTGGAGAAGGTTTATGCCATGTTCTTGTAGTTTCAGGTAAATACATATTAATTTAGCTCAAAAAAAGTGTCATAGAGCAGCAGTGTAGTGACGCATCCAGGCATCTGGAGCAAAGTGGAAGCAGCAACTTCTGGTTGTTGCTATGATCACGAATGCACAGGTGTCAGCAGCAGCCACTGTTTTTTGCCCCCTCCCCCAAAGTCAGTGCCTGGGCCAGTTGCCCCCATTACCATCCTCGCCCCCCCCCCGCCTTAATTATGGCACTGCCATGGAGTCTTGTAACTTCTTCATAGACCTTGTGAGATGGATGTTTTCCTTAGATCCCCAGCTTCTGAAATCACATGATTATATGAGAATCTTACTTGTGTTTAAATGAATTAATTTTCCAGACTTCTGTGTTTCAAAGAAAACCTTGAGGATGTGTCCCCCCTAGAAAATCAAAACTCAGAAAGCAACTAGAAAACCACAAATTATTATTTTTTAAAGTAATTTTTTAAACTCAGTTTCATTATTTTTAAATGCTTGAGGTTGGCCATTGTTATTTTTCTAGATGGACTTGAGTCTCTTTGGAACCAGCTGTATAGATAACTGGTGGTGTTCCATGGCAACTAATGGAGTCATGCTAATTTAAAACTGCTGAGGATCTGACCCACAATTAATACAAAGAGTTAAATGAGTGCTGCCAAAGTTACTCAGCAGAGCATTTGAATTAAGAGTAATTTAGTCATATTGTTGCTGTGTTCCCTTTTCCTCTAATAATACAGTCTTTTTTTTCTCCCCCAAGTTTCTTACAGTGACTCAGTGGTTGTGAATGGGGAACTATTGTACGGTACAGGCACCTACAAAAGGCATTCAGAGCTATTAAAATTTCTGGGAGGAGGATAGTGCTGTAAGTCCATATTAATTTTAACACAGACTCCTAGCTCTTTGCCACAGACACCACCTAACAGAGGCAGGAGATACCCATGTCTTAAAGTGAGACTTAAAGGAGAACAATGTAATGCCACAGTAGATGGTGTAATGGTGTACTTGGCAGCTTGTCTCTATTCTACTAGACTGTAATTTCCAGTTCTAAGGTCCACAGTGCAAGTCTTCTAGAATTACTATAGCCTTATTAAGTGGTTTGGTAGAAGCGTGTTCATTGGCGTTCACTCGACTCAGCAGCTGTACTACTCCACAGTTTCAACAATGAGCCATATCTGAATTGTACTTTATCAAGGAGCCACCTCCTGAGTCATCATCTCCTGTGAAAGAGTTGTCCTAATGGTTTCAACTCCTGGAACAATCTTTAGGACATTCCTTGCAAGAGGACAAGAGCTCTTCTCCTTTCTGAGTTGTGTTCCCAGACCCATGCAATTCTGAGTTTGTCCACATTTTATCATGGCTTCCAAAATGTCATTGGAAAAACTGAAATGTTGTTGTAGCTATGAAGGTCCAGGTAATTTGCAAGAATCACGGGTTTTTTGGTAATGTCTTTTATTAGGTCAACCATACAGTCGGAAAAATAATTGGACAAGCTTTTGGGCCCAAAGTGCCCTTCCTCACCAAAAAAAACCCCTTGCTTTCTCACTGGAGCAATTCTAAGCCATAAGCCATGAGACAGAAAGCTTCTTTCTCTCACCTTTTTTACAGGGCTTAGAGCTGATAATGATTAGGCAGCTGGTGCACATAGTCCACTGTGCATTCATTCACTTGTCTGTCCTCTAAAATTTAAGTTCTTTGGGGCAGGGACTGTCTTTTTGTTATGTGTATATAGTGCCCAGAAGAGTGTTGCAATGGCATCTGGGCATTGTTGCAAAAGAAACTATTTGCAACTTTCAGATCTTCCACAATTCAGGAAGAGTTTCCCATTGTTTCAGTCTGTAGCTCATTTTGACTAATACTAGTTTTGTACGAATGGTTTGTTATGGTCTATGTAAATAAAATAGAAACCTAGGGGGGAAAAGGGACATACAGCATTCATAAGTTGGCTGCAATTATATGTCACTTAAACTTCTTTCACTTACAGAGATAACTTTTTTCAAATATGGATGCAAATAACAATCCATAATGGATTTAATGGCACTGTACTAAGTCTTCTTATGGTGCAGTGGTTCCACTGTGTCTCATTTTACTGCAAATTAACTAGGTAAATGTTCAAATGAATGATATAGTAAACCAGTGGGTACATTTCATAAGGACTAAATATTATATAAAAATATTCTCTCTACTCTTCTCAATACTAGATCTTGACTGAGGAACCTCACAACAGGCTTGGACAGAGAAGTAAGTAACTGACATTCTCCATTAATTTATTCTAGAGGTTAAGTGAAAGAACAAAGATATTGATGCTTTAGAGAGAAACTTACACCGATTTTCATTTTTGACCCATGTGACTAGCAATCTAAGTGGATGATACCCAAGGAATACTGTTACAGTTATGTGTCTATCAAATGCCAATGTAGTGCCTATCTTCAAGAAAGGGAGGAAGGTGGATCCGGCTAAC